GGGGGTGTGTCGTGGTCGTGCTGGGGCGTGGTCGTGCTGGGGCGTGGTCGTGCTGGGGCGTGGTCGTGCTGGGGCGTGGTCGTGCTGGGGCGTGGTCGTGCTGGGGTGTGGTCGTGCTGTGGTAAGGTCGTGCTGGGGTGCGGTCGTGCTGGGGTGTGGTCTTGCTGGGGTGGGGTCGTGCTGGGGTGTGATCGTGCTGGGGTGGGGTCGTGCTGGGGTGTGGTCGTGCTGGGGTGTGGTCGTGCTAGGGTGGGGTCGTGCTGGGGTGGGGTCGTGCTGGGGAGTGGTCGTGCTGGGGTGTGGTCGTGCTGGGGTGTGGTCATGCTGGGGCGTGGTCGTGCTGGGGTGGGGTCGTGCTGGGGTGGGGTCGTGCTGGGGTGGGTTCGTGCTGGGGTGCTCCGCACCCTGTGATTTATCGATCGGGTCGTGCTGGGGTGTGGTCGTGCTGGGGTGTGGTCGTGCTGGGGTGTGGTCGTGCTGGGGTGTGGTCGTGCTGGGGTGTGGTCGTGCTGGGGAGTGGTCGTGCTGGGGTGTGGTCGTGCTGGGGCGTGCTGGGGTGGTGGTCGTGCTGGGGGGTGGTCGTGCTGGGGCGTGGTCGTGCTGGGGCGTGGTCGTGCTGGGGCGTGGTCGTGCTGGGGCGTGGTCGTGCTGGGGCGTGCTGTCGTGCTGGGGTGTGGTCGTGCTGTGGTGAGGTCGTGCTGGGGTGTGGTCGTGCTGGGGTGTGGTCTTGCTGGGGTAGGGTCGTGCTGGGGTCGGGTCGTGCTGGGGTGTGGTCGTGCTGGGGTATGGTCGTGCTGGGGTGGGGTCGTGCTGGGGTGGGGTCGTGCTGGGGTCTGGTCGTGCTGGGGTGTGGTCGTGCTGGGGTATGGTCGTGCTAGGGTGGGGTCGTGCATTTCGCTCGAGACATCCTGCCAAAATTCCAGGAAATCGTACAAAAACAAACAAATTAGTCGAAACATCATCGAAATTCCTTCGCGCGGGGCGCTTTTCCGCGTCGCGGTCGGCTCTGCAAAACAAGCGTTTCGCTCGAGACATCCTCGGCAAACTCTGCGGAGCAAGCGTTTCGCTCGAGACATCCTCAACTCTGCAAAACCAGCGTTTCGCTCGAGACATCCTCAAGAAATTCTGAAAAACAAGCGTTTCGCTCGAGACATCCTCAAATTTTAATTCGCCGGCCTCCTTCGACCTCGTTATTTATCAAGGAAAAAATTCGCCGGCCTCCCTCAAGTTGGCACCGGGGGACAGGTTTACCTACTAAAAGAGAACCCTGGGCCCACGCCCTTTCCGGGAAAAAATAGACTTCACCTGTGAAATATCGAGGTTTCCTTAAGGCAGTAAAATTCCAAGAGCACGATCTGCGTGAAAGGTGGCGAAAAATGGCCTTCGTCCTCACAGTTGAAATCCGCCGGCCCCCTTCGACCTCGTAATTTATCGCACAAGAATTCCGCCGGCCCCCTTCAAGTAAAAACTGGGGGGTAAACCCACTAAAAGAGAACCCTGGGCCCAGGCCCTTTCCGGGACAAAAACAACGTTCTCGGGGGAGTCCGCATCTACGGGGGCGGTGGGTGGCTCGGGTTCAGTCCGTCGGGTGGCCATGGATTGACCGACCCTCGAGAACCGAGGCGGGCGAGACGAGGCGAACAGCATGCGAAGCGCCCGCGCTCGTTGAGGGTTGCGGGTGAACTGCCCATTTCGCACACCAGTTGTATTTCTTAGCCAACTGATTGTTTGCCATGCGCTATGACGTAGCTGAGTCTGTCCAGTTCGACGATCGAAATACGGGGTACGAAATCCGATGCACGCAGCTAGATTTCGGCCCCGCCACTGGGCACGAAAGACCTCGATCCATAGTTACCCCCAGCGCCTCAAAACAGCTGCATGCAGCTGGGTCGCCACCTACATCCCCCTTTGCTACGCCCTCTTTCGTCGACGGTCGTCTGTTTTCCCCGTCGTCCCCGTCGAGGTCTGGGAATCGAGGATCCAGGGTCGAGGATCATCCTTTTGGGGCCTCCGTGAGCCTGCGGGGGTCCCTCCCGAGGTCTCAAAGCGGAGAACTTTGGAGACCTCTGGAGATCCCGGGAGGTCGTCTTTGTCGTCGGCGGCGACGCCATCTTCGTCGTCGTCGTCGTTTTCAGCGTCGTCGTCGTTCAAGACGTTGGCGTCGCCGTCGTCGTTGTCATTCGCGACGTTGGCGTCGCCATCGTCGTCGTCGTTCGCGACGTTGGTGCCGCCGTCGTCGTCGTCGTCGGAGGAGGAGGAGGAGGAGGAAGAGGAGGAGGATAATCAGGAGGAGGAGGAGGAGGAGGAGGAAGAGGAGGAGGAAAAGAAAGGGAGGCAGAGGAGAGGGAGAAGGGAGGAGCACCAGGATGGGTCCAGTAGGAGGGATGGCGTGCTCCCGCTGAGCTGGCATTCGGAAGCTTCGGATGGCATTCGGAAGCTTCCGATGGCAGTGACAGCTCCCTTGTCGCATGGCGCCACGGCCTGGAAAAGGCTCGGAAGCGGCTGTGCTGCGACGGCCCTGGAAGCCAAACCGCCTGCGTTGGAGGGGATGAGGTGGGAGCTTGCGAGAACTCGGGGAGGAGGAACACAATTTTTTTCTCCACCGCGCCTTCAGCCCGCAGGATGTCACACGCGGCACCGCCGCGGTGCCCCGCGCGCCCGGCCGGCGGGCGAGCCCGACCGGACTACACGGGGAAAAAGGCCCCGCCCCACAGGCAGGCGGGAGGTTCCAACCGAACGGAGCCGACCCCGCGAAGGGGGAGGCCGAACGGCAGGGCCACCCGCACGCCCAAGGGGCAGGGCAAAAAAGGACTCGGACCCCGGGACCCACGACGACGACGACGACGACGACGAAACGACGACGACAACGACACGACACGACGGGGAGACGGACCGCCAGTCCCGCCCCAAGGCGGCGAACGCAGGGGGAGAAACCCTGCGCCGCCCTGGGGGAGGCCCCGGGACCTGGCAGCCCCCCCTGGGAAAGGGGACCCCGCTTATGGGGGCCGTCCCAGGGGAGCGGGGGCTTTTCGCCCCTCGGGCCCGGCGCTCCCCGCCTGCGCCAGGGAGGAGGAACACAAGGAGGAGGAGGAGGAGGAGGAGGAGGAGGAGGAGGAGGAGGAGGGCGTCGACTGAGGAAGCAGGGGGAGGAGGAGGAGCAAGAGGACCTGGGCCTCTCTCCATGCTCCTCGCCGCTGTCGCGCAGACCTCGCCTGGCAGGGTTGTAGGGCCTCTGTTGTCCATACATGCCGCTCGGAAGAGGTAGGCAGACTGACCCAAGGCTGGAGGGCGTGGGCGGGTTGAGAAGATCGCTCCCTGGCCGGGTCATGCGTCGACGCGCCTGGCATGTCACTAGTGACGAGCACATCCATATCCAAGCACTCGTGGGAGTTACAGCCAGGCGCGGCCCCAAGGATACGCAGCCGCATGGACACGTTCCACGCGGGGCACCTGAGCAGAGCCAGCCTCTCCTCCTCCTCCTCCTACTCCTCCTCCCCCTTCTCCTCCTGCTCCTCATGGCGGGGAGAGGAGGCCGAGGACGTGTGCCTCGCCCACGAAGTGTCCAAGAGACAAATCCCTGACATCCTGGCGTAACAACTTTTTGGCAACGGGCGGTCTTGCCTTGTGTCGGGCCCAAGGTCCTCACAGAGCGATCCGACTCGAAAGGTGCCGCAGAAAGATGGGGCCCAGGGCTCCGATCGAGTTTCGGTTTCACAATGTTGCAAATTGTTCGTGACGTCGGATATCAGGGTTGCGGGCCCTGGCTGGTTACTTACGATCGTGGCACTGCGCAGTATCATGAGCATACCGACATGATGCAGTCGACTACAAGTAGCTTGAACGGCTGACTTACTCACACGGCAATGGCAGCACGGGCGTGAAGGCAAGCTCAAGAGCGCCCAACGATATAATGTGTCGCTGAGAGGTGCCCGCTCCCCCCGCTCCCTCCCAAAATCTTGACGCGCTGATTTCGGCACATGCGCAACTGTGGGAGAGGGCACAAACGACCCGGTAACATATTGCTTATCGCAGCGGTGACGAGCACGCATCGCGTCCGTAGCCTAAGCGGGGACGCTGCTGAGCGAATTCTTCGCAAACTGGTGGGAGATAGAAAAGAGCGGCGAAACGGGTAAGAAGCCCAATGCCGAACAACAAATGCTTTCTACACTCGACAGCAGCGACAATTGGGCAGACAACTTGTCGTTTCAAATGGACACAAACCACGGCGACAACGACAGCAAGTTCTGATAAACATAGGCAAGGTTTGGTTCCGGTCTTCGTCAGCATTCTTTCCGTACCCAGCTCGGTCCTCTAAGCTTATTGCCCCAATAACAATGAGATGCCGAACATTCCAAGCTCTGAGAAGTCGGCTGGGCAGGGAGCCGCCCCACCGAGCGTGCGCTGGCACGAGGCGCGGGAGGAGCCCCCCTGCGTCCGCCACGAAGCGCACGACGGACCCAAGAGATCCGACACCCGGGAGTCCAGACACCACTCATGAGGCTGGTCTTTAACCTGAGTCGTTCTCTGACGTTCCTGGAGCCTGGAGGCGGCCTTTGCCAGCCGAGAGCTGCAGAACAGCTCCGTCCTGACTTTTCCCAGGCGTTGGATGCCTGGGCGCGGACCAAGACATCCTCTTTAGTGTCTTTGTTCCCAATGTGGTCTGGACTCCATCCCCAGGGCCAGCGTCTCATTCCTGGATGTTTTGTTGACGGTCCCAGAGCCTGGCGAGCGCCCCCGCAGGCCGAAATTCGGCAAAAAACTCCGCCGTGAGATAGTATCGCGCCTCGAGGGTGGCCAGGCAAATATCGACCCCCCAACCTATCAGCGGGAACGATCAAAGCGGATCCAGCCGTGGCGACGAGATGCCCGGCCGAAACTCAAAAACCGCCGACTTGCCTCAAACCTCGAACCTCGGAGCTCGATCCTCGAACCTCGATCCTGAGGCGTTGGATGCCTGGGTGCGGACGACCGACGACCGACGGCGGCGCGGCGGCTCCCACCGCGGCGCCACGAAGACGAGAAGGCTCCAGAGCTCGCGCAAGGAATTCTGTAGTGGCGTGCCCGTCAGCAGGAGCCGGCGCCGGCACGGCAAGGAGTGGCAGACCTGCCAAGGTTAGTTTTTCCACCGCGAAACGCAACTCCAGGCCGCACGCATCCACCGGCAATGCGAAATCAAATTCACTGCCACTAAAAGAACGCACCGTCGCAGGCATAAAGGGGGGACACGAAGGCGAAGGGGCAAGAGCACTGTGCGACGATCCTTTGCGATCCCCCCAATGTTAGGCCTGCCACGGGGGGGAGAACCAACGGCCGAGGATCCCTGACATCCTCTCGCGCGATCAACCAGCATCGCATCGGCAAGTCGGATCGAATCGAAAGGTGCTTCGGACCAGACTGCATCGGCACTAAGTCGAAATCGAATCGGTTTGCCTATGCATGGATGCGCAAAAACACCATGCGAGCATCGGGCCGCATCGGATCGTTAGAACATCGGACTCGAATCGGAGCAGGCCAGTCAACATCGACATCAAATTTGATCGGTCGGATCAAAATCGACGGAGAGCTCCGCCAATTTTCGGCATCCTGGGGCCCTCGCCGGGCGCCAGGACCGTCAAGAAACGACTATTTGTGAAAAGCAAATGCCGGGGATGGGGCTTCAGACATCTGGGTAAACACTTTGAAAACCGAAGGAGGATGTCTGGGGAGGGTCGAAGTATACCGGCCAGAGTGAAGACCGCCCAAATAGGGTCACAGTAGACGGGGTCGGCGAAACGCGCCGCATCGGCGATGCACCGGCGATGCATCGCCATCGCGATCCAGCATAACTGCCAGGGGGTATACCCCTCATCGCCTCTGATATTTACCATTTCGCGCTGAGACTATCAAGTCCAGCGTCGTCTAGCATGAGGGCGTGCCGCGGGAGAGAGTGATCAGAACTTGAGGTCGCTCCTGTCGGGCAGGTCTTGTCCACCTCCCTGATCTCCCGCGGCTCGAGCCGTGGACATGTTGAACGGTCTGGCACCCATGCCAAGAGTGCCCGCCCTCTGCCTCGCCATAGTCATCGGCGGGCTGCTACTTCACCTCCAACTACATACTTTGACAGGGTCACCTGTAACAACTTCACCCAGGCACATTGCAGGCATGAGAATCGCTTGACCTTTGGTAAGACTGCGCAGTTCTCTGGCGCCCCTGAGTGCAGCCTCTTCGCGCCACTCTAACCACTGCTGGTTAGACTCCTTCTCCATGCCTGTCTGCGCAGCCTCAAAATACACGGCAATGTCTTCGGCGAGCTATCTCACATTGCTGCCGACCCTCGGCATTTGTCGAACTGCGCCTCGTGATTGCGTCACTGCGCTCACCAGTCTGCCACTGAGCCCTTGTTCAAGACACTGCACCGAGAAGAACATGTCGACTCCTACAGAGCACTCCTCCATGCGATCGGTACCATGGCACAGCTGAACGATCGTGCTTGGACTTGTTGTCTGCAGTTGCCACCATTTTGATACAACGCTAATTTCCGCGTCGCCCTTGGTCTCGCAACTAACGTCCACCCATCTCGGCGACAAGTTGCGCGAGCTCCAGCCCCTTGAACTCCGCGTCTGCGTTGACCGCGATGCTCTTGGCAGCCGTCGCAGCAAACTTGGCCCACGTTTTCGAAAGGAAGGCCCATGCGACTGGCACCTCGCTGTGCTCGTTGGTTGCCACGTCCGAGCAGGCCTGCGGTTACGCGCACAGATCGCTCCGGTCGGTTGGAAGAGAGGGCGGCCCCACCACCGGCACTAATGGCAGCGGTGGTGCCACCGTGCGCAAGAAATCGCACGACTGGTCTGCGAGGTCTACGCGCCCAACGCACGCCAGCCTCAACTCCACGAAAACCTCTACAGCGGCAACATTAAGCGATGAAGTCAACGTAACGGTGCCGAACGACCATTCACTGTCCCTGGGTGCGTGGCTGAAGTGGGGTTCCGCGGTGTGGAGCGTTGTTTTGTGTTGCGGTCGTCGTCCCACTCGCGACCCGGCCGCGACCCGCGCGCGAACCGCCCGCGACCCGGCAGCGACCCGCCCGCGATCCTTCCGCGATCTTTCCGCGACCCGCTCGCGACCCGCCCGCGACCCGCCCGCAACCCGCCCGCGACCCGCCCGCGACCCGCACGCGACCTACCCACCGCGAGGCCCAATAGCGACCCGCACGCGACCCAGCCGAGACCCGCCCCGCGCTGGCCCCCTCGCTCATATCCGCATCTGCGGGGTGCCACTGTCAGCAGTATTACTGGAATCTGTGCCACCTCTGCATGCCGCTTGCGCTGGCACTGCCATTGTCATGATTGCCAGTCGAGGAGAACCTGATTGGTCCAGCATGCTTGCGCTCGTTCCAGTCTGGCCCTGCTACGCATGGCCCCCGGGTACTAGTGATGCGCCTTCCCACCTCTCAGGATCGCAACGATTTTCCCCGGCAGTGCCTACCCCATCTTTGAGATGCGCACGACATGTTGTAGCCCACGCTGGAGAGGAACAGGATCGCAAACCTCGGGCTCTCGAAGTTCCAGGTCGTCTCTTTCAAATGCAGCAGAGCCCGCATGCGGCCGCGCAGTCGTTGCCTGACACGGCGCTGCAATCACCTTCCATCCACGATTGCTTAACTGCCCGTCAGTAACGCATCTCGACGTTGCTCTCATTTCTCGTTGAAGCCAATCTCCTGGGCCAATGGAACATGCGAACAGGATCGAACTCGCTCCTGGAAGGTATTTCTCCCGCCGCTGGTGTTGAACAGCTCGATGTGGTAGAAACCTCAATGCGCCCTGGGCTGCGGAACTGTCTGCGGTCGGCCGAGGGGCAGCTCTGGCCCAGGAGCGCGCGCAGTAGCAAGCCCACCGTCTGGAATGCTGCCACCATTGCCTGGCGACGGTTCGCCGCGCGCATCGTCGCACCACCCCCCTGCTCGGCGTCGGTTGCGCAACTTACCTGGCTCGAGTGGGTCAGGCAGCCGAGACCCGCTCGCCGATGGCAGCGCCTGCTTACCTCCGCAGTTCGGCTTCCGCAGGGACGCCTGCTCTTTGCGAGCTCCCCCCCTCTGCCCCCAGCCGATTCCCCCCCGCGAGTTTCGCGGGGATGGGGCCTCAGCCTGCTCTGCTCACGGGTGATTCTAGCGTCGAAGACGGAGCGCGCTGCCGCCGTCCATCCATGGGAAATAGCCGCGGTCGGCCCTCCCTTGCATCTCCACAAATCATGGGATCGAGAGCTGGAACGCCTGCTTCGCGCGCGTTATCTCCCCAAGCCCCAGCCGATTCTCGCCTCCGAATTCCGCGAGGATGCAGCCCCAGCTTTCTGAGACAGAGTGCTCCGCGCCCGACCACCCGCGCTCCGATGCAGATCATCGCGAACATCGCCATGATGCAATGGAACGTTTGAAGGGCCACCTGCTTCGCGCGTTCTCTCCCCCTGCTCCACCAGCTGATTCCCGCGTGCCGAATTCCACGGGACTTGGGCCTCAGCGCCCTGCAGAGCTGGTGGGTCGAGCAACCGAGGCAACGCACTCCGCGCCATCCCATCCACATTTCGACGCGCTTGCCGCGGTCGGCCCCGACGATCGTTGCATCCTTGATCGTTTGGCAAGGATGCTCCCCGCATGCGCGTCGACGCAGTAGAGTGAAGTATACGAGCTGCTCCGCCGATCGCTTCGCGCCCGAGTAGCTTCCCGTCGAACCCGTCGCTGAGTTTTGGCCACTTGGCGCGTGCACTCCTTGAATGTAAGCTATCGAGGTCCTGGCCATTTCCGGCTTGGGCCAGCGCGCGCTGCTCTTCCTCGCCAAGTCAATATATAAGGTCCTCTTGGTTGACTCGCTGGCGCCTGCGACTGGCATTCCGACGTCAGGCCTGCCAGAATGATTTCTCCAAGCCGCAGAACGTTTGAAAACCGATGTTTTGATAATGTCGCGCAAAAGCAACCATCCTGGCGCTGCCCAGCAAGACTTGAACTTCTCATGCTGGACGTCCTCAACTTCGACGTCGAGGGCTGGCCCAGCTACGAGGGCAGCGTCGCCATCTGGACCTATGGGCTCAGCTGCGCGCTTGAGCTTCAACTTTGAGGCCTGCAGCACAGCTTCATAACTGAGATGCCAGATGCGACACTTGACCAGGTTGGGGTCGAGAGTCGCACAGCTAGGTATGCTTACTGATGTTTATGTATATCATATCCAAGATCTCGTCGTGATCAAAATCACCTTAGACGCGTAATGTCCTGGTAGCCGTTCACTCCAAGACGGGTAGTTGCCAGGTCACTGCCAGCCGCGATCAGCATGTCTCTGAGCTTCGCGTAGTTGTGGCTGCAAGCGCGGCCTCACGCCTGGAAATCGAATGGCGTGTCCCTGCAGTTCTTGATCATGTGACTGGTCTTGGCCCTGTCGGGATTCAGGCCACTCGCCCGCGTGCGCCAGGCGGCGGGACTTCGATGCGCGAGGGAAGTGTTCTGCAAAAGCAGCATCAGATCTGGAAAAAGGAAAAACAAGAAACATTACACCATGCTCTGAAAAAAGGGGGCGCGTCGCTCACGAGCGACAAAGAGAACGAGACAATTCCAATCCAACGGCGGCTACTATTCTGGGCGCCGTCCGGATAATCGCCCACACACTTCGAATTAAACCCATGCGTGAATTGCAAGGTCGGCCCAGCAACCGAAGCCGCCACCGATGATGCCATCTACTGAAGTTACCTGAACTTCTTGCTGTCACCTCCGATGTTCTGGACCATCTCGTCCGCCACGGTGTTGGTGCTGTCCATGTTCGCGTTCACTGCGGTCTGTCCTCGTCCGCTCGTTGGTGCTCTCCGAGCTGGACTCGTGAAGTCCGAGGCCCGCCTTCGTGTCAACGACGTCGGCCTTGAGACTGGTCTCTGTGTTGTCGATGCGCTGCGTGCTTATCTTGGTGCAAGCGATGGGGGGGCGCCTGTGCGGAGGGGGCGGGTGGGGGGCAGGACTACCTCCGCCACGGCGAGTGCAGTTGCGATCCCTCTGATCTTCAGGAGACAACTTTCATCTCGCTGAGCTGGAAACGCGCCCTCTCGACGGGCTGAAGCTATATCTTGGTGATTCGCGTATCCTTGGCGGGT